TTTGTTTGGAGTGATGGCATGTTCACCTATTATACATTTTGGGCGTTTCAGGGGGTTCTGTAGATTGGTTATAACATGTTACAATATTTACACAATATTATGGTGGCACAGAAAACAACTCGAGGTAGATCATGGGGGTCGGTATACTATACATTCCATACATAAGTGTTTGGGTATGGAAGTGAATGGCCCGATACCTGGAAAGAACAAATCGTCCAACTACACTGGAGGGTAAACTTCACCGAATCATGTGATGTGTTCGGAGCTTTCTCCCGGAAAGCTCCAATTCGGAGTCCTGAAACTGTTTGGGAATCCGGTTTCAGCCTTGTGGCTTGGATAGAAAAACATAGTGGAGGCTATCGCTACTAGGGTGGAGGCCATCGCTCTTAGGTTGGAGGCCATCGCTACCATCGCTATTAGGTTGGAGGCCATCGCTACTAGGGTGGAGGCCATCGCTATTAGGTTGGAGGCCATTGCTTTTAGGTTGGAGGCCATCGCTATTAGGTTGGAGGCCATCGCTCTTAGGTTGTTGGAGGCCATTGCTCTGAGCTTGGAGGCAATCGCTATTAGGTTGGAGGCCATCGCTATTAGGTTGGACGCCATCGCTATTAGGTTGGAGGCCATTGCTATTAGGTTGGAGGCCATCGCTAGTAGGGTGGAGGCCATCGCTACTAGGTTGGAGGCCATCGCAAGATCCCAGATCTTGACTCTGCCCATTGCTGGGTTCACTGTTGGACGGTGGTCCTGTCAAAGGTCGCAGCTTCTGGGGTTGAATCCGTGTCACGGATATCATTGTCATGGCATAGAAAGAATATGAGCAGTGCTTGCCGATTATATACAGTAAATTAAACAGTAAAAGGAATGACAACGGCAAAGAATAAAAGACAGACACAGCTTTGTTTGTGGGTGCTTTGGTCAAGTCTGTCTGCGAATTTGCATACTCACCGGCTGATCCCCTCCCAGAAGTCTTCGTCGTCGCATCTCAACACCCCAGAGCACCTCACTTGCACCCGGATAGGTGGAAGATGAATCCTTCTTCCTGTTCTACTTATGAAGTGCGCTCCTGCACTACCTGGCCACAGTAACAGAGGTCCATTTCTTCTGGACCCCAGAATATCCCCGGCGCAAGCCTGGATACGAGCATGCGCTAGTGACGTTAGTGCTCGGCACGGCTTGGCAGTTATTTTTGCAGTCCAGCTTGGACATATTGGCTAAGTGGACACGTGCCAGCTTTTGGTCAGGATTCTTTGCCGTGCTGCCACTTGTGGCTGAAACGCTAAGATGTTGGAGAGTCGTCGAAGAGCCGCCCTTTTGCACAAAACTCCAGGCTTTGAGCAGCCACGGCTGCCTGTGGCCAAGCGCAGATCCTCACCAACAATCTAGATGCACATGAGGTATTTTTTTGGGAGGAGCCTACGATACAATGGCCTGCATGCTTGTTGTGTTCGAGACTGCCCTTTTCGTTCTGGGCAGCCAGCAGTGATAAGGCCGCAGGCAAGATCTTGTAAGTGCTCAGGATAACTGCTTGCCGTGCCCTTCCAAGTATACAATGCGTAACTGTCTAAAACCCGTGTAAGGCATTCCCTTCAACCAATGGAACCATGAACACCTTTGGAAAAGGGTTTGCCTGCATTCCTGCGTGTTTGAAGGCCACAGAACCGAGACCTTTCAATTTCCTACATCCGCAGAACCGACATGAACTGAGCAACAGAAAGGCACTACGTGCATTAAGTTATCACCAGCGATGATACCTCCTGATCTCCACTCTCACATAACACGTGAGGCAGCACCTCATTTGACACTGTTGGGTTTGTTTTGGCATGTTTTGGCAGTTTGAGCTCTGGAGGCATGTTCATCCCAGTGTCAGTGCGTACTTTCAACCTTTGGAGGCCAACAATCCAGTTCCCCGCGTGGGATTGGTCTTGTTTGCCTTAAGCATCTTGTCGCTCGCAAACCTTTCTTGGCGGTATTTGCCAGGGTCTCGTGATCTGCAGATCTGAACAGACACGTCCCTTTGTCGGAAACTGTTTTGGTTCACCCTAACCTTTGTATCCTTTGTATCCTCAGGACCCCCAAATATCAACAACCCAAGATTTTCTGGAGCCCAGAAGCCAATCCCAGGCAAGTTGCAGCTCGGGGGCTTTGTCATTCTGATCACTGGCCAAGCCATCTATGGCGAGATTTTTCGCTTACCTGGCTTCAGGAGCGGTCTGAGCCCTGAACGGTTTGGTCTTTGGACATCTGATAAACATCGACTAACATTTGTGAGTTTCGCAAGAGTATGAACGCTCACCAAAGCCAACAGCACTCATCAAGGAAAACAGTCCTTTTTGTAGAACACATACGTTTTTCATCGTGACCTGCATGGCAACTAAAACATTGCCATTCTTGGTCGTTGGAACTGCAGTGCATACACATTGAATCTCTTGAGTTCCAAAAACATTATATAGTCAAATCTGCATCTATCATGATGAATTTATACAACTTCCCTGATTTTGCTTCTTGCCAAAAGACAATCAAATCCATAGATAGACCCAGACCCAAGAGCTTTTGGAAAGAGCCCAGCTCTTTCTCACAAGGCTTGACCCTCCCTCCCCCCAAAGACATCTATATTGACGATTTTGAGAAGGTCAAGCCTTGAAACCGGACAACCAGGTCTTCTTGATCCCAGAGTATCCCACACCGACACCAGCGTACGCAGGTACCGCACGGACAGCGGCCTGGAAGACGCCACGAAGTTCGCGTCGCCCTCGGCGGCCTTGCACTTCGCCTCGCCTGCGGTGGGATGAGTGCCGCGCTGAGCGGTGCCGCGCTGAGCGGAAGTGCCCGCGTGAGCGGTGCGGGCAATTCCCGCGTGCCCGGTGAGTGGTCCGTTTGCAGGAGATGCAGCAGGGATTGGCGGGCAGGAGATCCATCTGCTTTATGTTTCTTTTTTGGTGTGAATGTGACAGCTGTGAAAGAATGTGCAGCAGGGATTGGTTGGAATTTATCTCTTGGGTTTTCTTGATGCATCTGGATGCTATTTGCTTCATGTGCGGGTCAGAGGGAGCTCTGGACTTCTCACCGGCCGTTGGACGGCGCTGTCCAACATCGGGCGGCCCGCGCCCTTCTTGTTCGGCCCTGGAGGATCCGAACACGCAAGCTGATCGTGAAACCCAGAAGCCCCCCACCGGCATTGACCCCTTGGAAAATCACCGCCATGTCATTTGGTCAATGGGAATATGTTTATACTCATGTCCTAAAGGGTAGACTGGTCCATGTTCTTTCTTTGTGGGGTTCTTTGGGAGGTTTCCATAGTTTAACACACACCCACATGAATTTGCATTTTGAAAAAGCCATCCATTGGCCCTGGCTGGGTAGACTGGTCTATTTCACGAACCGAAACCAGGGTGTCGAAGTGGGAGGTCTCACTATTCCAATACCCATATGAGTGTGCCTTCAAAACAAGCACTCCAAATCCTTCGAGCAGGCACTCCAAAGCCATGGTAGTCCATTGTGTTCCTTTGTACGCCTTTGTAGGGTCAATGGTCAATGTTGTGTAACGGATAGCATCCCATACCCACATTTCGGTGACGCGGCTCAACATGTTCTCCAAATAAATGTATCCCCCGCATTGCGATTTTGAAAAAGGCAAATGGCATTGGATCCTGCCATTGGGTGCCATAAGCCATAAGAGTTCTGTTGTGCTGTGGCGATGTGGCTGGTGGAAGCAACTACTGAGAGGCTTTGCCTCCTGCAACGTGGAGAGATCTATATATATATATGTATAGCCTGTACAATATTGAAATAAAACAAAATACAACAACATGTAGGTCGGCATAGGTTTTCTCAAGACCAGTGTCATTGACGAACTGTTTGTTAGTACTGCTATTGGCTATTGGACCGGCATTCTTCATCACCCTTAAAATCATGTTGAGATCCCTGGGTTTGGGCACAAGGGCACCCTCAGATCCTCCAAATCTTTGTAAGTGGGGCCGGCGGCTACAGACTGGGACAGAACGAAGTCCCGGATGTGACGCAAATTGGTGAGCTGTGTTGTTCATGACAGCAAAGCATTGGCTGGGACAGAACAGACTTGGTATGTACCACACGAGCTGAATGGACGCGGATCAGACACGAACCCACAACAGGGAACATATGGGAATATAATTCTGATGGTAGTTGTTGTGAATAAGGTTTGGACTATAGCTATATATATAGTCTACATCATACATTGTACACACCATCTTTTGCTGTTGCTCCACACCTCCTGCATGCCCAGTTGATCGCTTAATCCCCGCTTGAAAACGTTTGGCCGCCATGAACATGTTTGGGCAGAGCTGTTTGATGCCGTCACTGGCAAAACTGTTTGAAAAGGTCCAGTCTTTGGGAGACGGAGGGGAGTTTGAACAATGGATTGAGTCTGAGCGCGTTGGCATAATCATTCTCCAAATGCTAGAGCCAAGCAACGAGGGGACAGCAAGTGCATACTGATGTTTGTTCTTCCTTTACACAAAGAACACCTACATGGAAGGACCCCACAGGAAATCACTCGGGGGAGACCCGGTACAAGCTCAGCACAGCTGTGCACAGCAACAAAAACATGCGTGCAGCACAGCACCACGAAGTTGCACCTGTTTATTGTTTGACAGTGTAGCAAAACATGGAATTGTCCTATGGAAGTGGGAAACCACCTGTTTGTAGTGGAAAGTGGTCTTCCAGGGGGCCATTATCCACTTCCATGTTAGTTCCAGGGAGTGTAGCAAAACATAGGACAAAGAAGACAGGATCGGATTGATCACCACACAAAAGTTTGTTCAAGAGAAAGAATCGATCGGCAAAATCTCAAAGGTCTTAGAATTTGGATGAATGATGAGTTTATGACTTGGTATATGATCACCAGTCCCAGCTAATTCCTAAGAATCCCTTGCACATGTCAGCAAAGTTCTTATCACCACAAGTCACCAGTCACTTCACTCATTCCGTGAAGTTCTTGCTCCTGTCTCCTATCCTCCCCGAAGGTCGCAGTGAAGCCTTGCAGATCCTTTTAGGCGCCGCACATCATAAACGAACTCTTTCGGCGTTGGAAGGAGAAACGCACACAAAGGACCTGAGAGATTTTCATTTTTATCGTGAGTTATCCTGTAACGTCCTTGTGAAGCAAATCCAAGTTACAGAGGGATTTTAATCGTTGTTCAACACGGCTGCACTGGCCCAAGTTTGGGCCAGTGCTGCAATCGGAGGATGTTCATGGTTCTTTGCCAACATTTTTTCGGAGGGTCTCCCACGGTCTCCCTGATTTAAGAGACATGCTATGCCAGACACACCAATGTACGGAATCTATGCCTGCATTGACTCTCCAAATTACCCGTAAGGCCTGATTGGCGTCTATTCCAGTCTCATGGAGTGTCTGGGTATGGTTCTTCGACTTACGGTGGAAAGAAACATGAAGAGCCTGCAATCTAACCATCATCATCCACTGGGCCCTGGTATAAATGGGATACCAATCAACTCATGTTCAACTCTTTACAGTCCAACCGCATCCCAGTGCATCCCAGTTGCTGCAACTGCCAAGTTGGTGCGTTGACGGATGTGGGAGTTGGGAACGTGCAGACCGCATGTTTAGGGAAGGACTACAAAAACACAAATCTCCCAGCGTAGCTGCGAGATTTGGTGCGTCATTGGTATGCTCCTACATGTTCCTACTCAGCTTCTGTAGGTTGAGTCTTTTCATGGAAGTGTCACCATTCTGAATCAAACACACACAACCACAGAATTACTCCTAACAGGCACGCAGGCTTGCGATCCCCAACCTACTCGTATGTCCGTGTTTCCTTCACAGTTCAGCTGAGTCTCCCGGTTATTGGGTCGATCCCGTAACCTGGTGATTGGTTTCGGGACTGAAACCCAGTGGCCGTTCTTGTTCATGTGAATGTGACCCTTTACAGGCCTGGTCTGTCATTAAAGCGACCCGCCGGCCAGGTGGGAAGGTCAAGGGTGTTTTCTCCGGTTGGACAGCAGATCCGTCTGGAATCCTTTCACGTGGACCGTATCCACAGACAACACCGACCGCCATCGACGGCGGGAGCCGCCGTCTCATCCTCTCTCAAACGACTCTCGTTTTCATGGCGGCCACCATGCCAAGGGATGGTCCAGATCAGGTTCGATCAGATGAGCATTTGGAACTTGAAAGATCCGGACGTTTCACCGTTCACCACAGTTGTGCCGGTTCCTTCCCGGTCTCTTCCCGGCTCGGACTCGGCCTCGACTGGCCAGGTGAGACCAGCTGTTGCCTTCGTCTCCTGGATGCCCTGAACGTGACCCACCCAGCGACGGGAGAGTAGGGGAAAGGCTGCGGAGAGTATTGACCGCCAGGGTGGTTCAAGAGTTCGTTGTATCGATGATGTGGAGTACCTTGATCTATATGTAACATTATGTAACATAGTGTTAAAGGATCGGAATATAGTTATATTTAAATCTTGTATTTACGCTCTTCCTTGTAGCATCATTTGTTTCCCGATTAATGATATTCATGTCAACTTGATGTATACCCTTAACTGGACGACCTGGAACATCCTGCAGCACGGACCCGTCAGCATGGGAAAGGCCTAAACCTCACTCTGCTATTGGAGGGTCCAATCTCTTCCAGCATTTTTGGGTGGTGGATTTCTTGATGCTTGGTAGCTACTTCTAGGTGCTTGTTCATCATGAAAACTCCCAGCCCACCAGCAGTTCTGTTCAGAATATTATAGGTTGTCTTGGGTTGGGTTGGGTTGGCGATCAGTGGTAAGTTTTGTTCGTGCTTCTGTTGCCAGCAAGATGCTTGGGGTTGGTGGTCCTTTCTTTTTTTTCTTCTGCTACAGCCATTTCTGTGAGAGCCCGCACTTCCAAAGGTTTATTGAAGCTCGAGAACGAGTTATTTTTTTGGAACAATCTCACATGGCGGCTGCAGATGCTGCAGGGGATGCTGAAACCGCAAGTCAGCCCGCCTTCGCAAACAGCACCGTGAACTTTCCACGATCCAAACTTCCCACTTTCGTCTTTGAGACCCTTTGACTCTGCCCGCTCTAGGGCTCCTGGCCGCCCCCCTCCGTTTTCGGTTCGGTGGTTAGGATGGGTGCCAGGGGGGTCTAACCACCGAACCTGAGGAGATGGTTCCTAGGGCTATATGACTACCGCGGACTCCCACTCTACGGATGTTGTTCTTCAAACGTCCCACGGCACCCAAAACTGCTGCGGCAGAATCAACGCCGCAGGTGCTGCCAAGGGCGGCTGAGACCGCCCGGATGCTGGGCTTGGATGTGTTGGGGAGGCCCAGTGAACGAGGCCTTTCACCGTGCACGACCCCTGGTGCTTGGCGGGCAGAACTGCGGTTCAGACGGAGGAACTGGCAGATCTCCGAGTGAGGTTTGGAAGACAATCCTCATTTGCAGGGTAGATGGTACTATGACTACGATGTACTACAACTACCATTAGTATCCATTACTAAAAGTTTTACGACTTGCTACTACCACTACCGCTACCAGCACCACTACAAATACTGCTAATACCACCACTACTCCTACTAGTACGACGACTACTCCCACAACAACAACAACAACAACAACAACAACAACTACTACTACTACTACTACTACTACTACTACTACTACTATGACTACTACTACTACTACTACTACTACTACTACTGCTATGACTACTATGGCTATGACTACCACTTACCACTTACCACTTGAAACACCTATACTACTACAACGACGGCGACGACGACCACCACCACCATCATTACCACCACTACTACCAAACTTGAGGATTGCACCATGCCATGCGTCCGAACGTGAGCCAGTGACGGCGAAGGAGGAGCACCCGTTGTGGCTACGCCATGATTGTGGCTACGCCCTGACTCATTCTGCAGTGCCATTCATAGTTGACACCGCAAAGCGCAGTCCCTGCAATGTGAGGGAGTTACTCTCCCGAAGGACAACATGGACCCTGGAAATAGGCCGGCGAAGCCCACTCAAAACTGTAGGTGGATGTACCACATCTTCGCACTGTCTTACCATTTCAATCCATTTCATGGCAACTGTTACACAGGGTGCATCAGTTTTCGAGCCCATCCTCAACTTCGCAACCTACGCTTCCTACACCGACCTTGGGGCGACGTCATCTTGCATTGGCCCTGACATAGCAGGTATGACATATTGATCTACACTGTTACGGTGGCTGACCTGGGGTGGAGGTAAAAATTTGTAGACTCTTGATGAATAGACTTCCCTATTCTTCCCTCATATGGATGGAAACACAAACATCATGGATGGAACATCATGTCTTTTTGTCAATTCAAGAGTCAACATTACAGTGTTTGGGTTGTTTGCTTGGCCGGGCTCGCACCTCTCGAGGCTGAGCGTGCTCTCCAGGGGATCTCAATATCGAGTGGAAGGGCTGAACCCACCGGCATGTTTTCCCGTCTCAGAGGTGCTTGAAGCAGACTTCATGGCAAAACACAGGTGCTTTTGCGACATCATCTCCCAGCACCGGTTCTGTTTTTTGTTTTTTCTGGCGGGCGCAGATCTTGCTGGGATGACCGCATCCGGTATTTTGGAAACATCCGAATCTCATGTGCAAAACATGCCGGAAGAAAAAGCACCCCAAATCTGGAAATCATTCAAATTCAACAAGACATGCACTCAGTGGAATCAGAGGGCACCACAGGATGCAGTCCATCAACGAAGTGGCTACGAAGTACAGCATTGACAAGCATGTTGATTTGGTTTCAATATATTGGGCAGGAGACAAAATGATCTCGGTCTAAAAGAGAAAAAGAGGGCAGAGCAAACACAACTCATAACAAGAAGATTGTAAAGCCTGTCATATGAAAGCTAAGGACAACAATACAATATATTAAGATGCATATGATGCATATATACCCCTGGCCTTTCAACCGCCCTTGATTTAATAGCCTTTACCGAACAACCATCGGTTTACTAAGGATTTTGCACTACAAAACCAGCTCAACAATTTTTCAAATGGCCATGGAAGGCCAGGGTTGGTGTATATATACACATACACAGTTATATACACATATAGAGATGGGGCCTGCACTGGGGGTCCCACTCTTCTTTTTCCAACACTCTTTCTGGGGAGGTTTGCTTTCAGAAAGTGAGCGCCGTTTCATGAACTGACCGCGAACTTGGGCACTTTTGGGGCCCGGGACCTTGGCGCGGTATTTGGTGGCCAGGGGCCTAGTACCCCGCAACATCCCACAACCTTTTTTTTTGAATTTGAGCCATTCGGTTTGTATAGTAGGAGGCTTCAGGTGTAGCTGTAGTGTATTCGTTGCATTCGCATATGCATGGAGTATAGCATGTTTTTTTTGATGAACTGCATCGCCCTGGCATGTACACATATTGTTGTTCATCATATTTGTTGTGTTCGTGAGTGGCATGTGCCGCTTAAAGATTGATCTCTCGCCATTTCTTGGACACAGGACTTCAAACCATACAGAAGTTCCATTCCGTCCAAGACCCATGCAAGGTTCTTGTTGAGACCCAGGATGAGGTCACGAACAGGCCTGTAAAATAAGGTCGCTAGCTGAAGGTCCATAAAGCATATTTGAGAATGGATAAAGCCACCCAAACCCGTGTTTTTCTCACCTTGAGGGAACCCATACCTTCAGGCTTCTCCTATTCAGCAGCTTAGCAGCTTGATTGCACAAAGGCTTAGTGTTGCCGGTGTTCAAACGCGGTATGACATGTATGACCCAAACGCTTTCCTTCACTTTGCCTCTCACTCTGACCACACACGTCTGACCCACCATCCGCACCATGGTTTTTTCTCACCAAAAAGCACCACGAAGCCGAACCAAGCAGGTCCGACGTCTCCTCCGCCAGGCTCACACGTGCTGCACATCAGGATCAAATGCTGCTGCTTTCCCCATCCCGAGTCCAGGCGCGCCACAGCGAAGTCCACGGACACCCCGTGCGAACGGACCCCGTCCACGGCGGTGGGAGACCGGCGACCGAGATCGTTTCGGGCGTCGTTTCGGGAGCAAACACGGCGTTGTTCGGGAACGGAGGCGTTTGAGTCCCACTGTGGGGGTTGCTGTGGACGACTGGGTGGAGTATGGTGGAGTGATGTTTTTAATATATGTTTGTTTTTGTCATAAGCCATCTCACTGTTAGTTGATGTTTTCATTTCTATTTGGAGTTTTCATTCCTGTTTGTGGAGTGAGGGATTGGATGGTGATAGGATTAGGATGGTCAGAAAGGGGATGGGGGGATGTAGTTTTTTCTTAGTAAAATAGGACTTCTTGCAAAAGAGGAATGCGCCGAAAGGTGCTAAATGCAGGTCATCATCATTAAGATTTAGAGTAGCCTAACTTAATAAACATAGAGCCTCTTGAAAAAGAGGAATGCGCTGCAAAGTGCACACTAGAGTCACTAGAGTCTAGTTTCCAGCTTTGGCACACTGAACATTAGGATTTGGTTATTATCCACCCTAGCCTGGCACAAAGATATGGGTTGATGGTGGCCCCTGAGGATTTCCTATAGTTCCAGCCTGGCATAACCTGGCATGAAGCATGGGTTGATGGCCCCCCACAGCCCCAATAAGCTGAAGCACAATTCACATTGATTATTTTTTTGGACCAATTGCAGAGTGTTGCCCACAATGATCCATCCTGGCATGACCCCTTGACAAGGCAAAGTTTGCCCATCTGGGTCGAGTAATTCCAGGAGTGAGTCACTTTGCTTACTTTTCTTTTGTTCACCAGCTTCTGGAATTCCAGAAACTGGGCGAACGCTTGGAACTCCAGCGTTGACTTGATGGCCCCTAGCTGACATTTGCCCTCCATCACTACTATACATCGTAGCAATGGAAAATGTCTCCAGCAGCTTGTCAATCAGATGGCTTTCCAGCCTGGCATGCATCATTTTTCATGGAAGAACTGCAGGCATAAGTTACAATAACTACAGCTGCTACCAATCAAACAACAAACACACTTACACATCAGGGCCAGCCTTGGCACCTCAGAAATCAAGACTCCAAGCAACCCAGCTGCTTCTACAACATTTGGGCACTATTGCAATGTGTGAGAACTGCAACTGCTTTCATGCTGACACAATCAGCAGCCCTTTTTTACACAGGATGCCGAAGCAAGTTGCAGGATTCACCTGACACAGCGCCAACAACACAAATAAACAAACATCTCACTGTCAACAACACAAGTGAACAGAAAAAACAAAAATCACCATGCCTTCCCTTGCTGGATGAAGGTCGCACATCTCCATCATCTTCAGCACTGCGCTTCCTGACAGCAAAGTCCCAGCTAAATCCCAGAAAAACA